CCCCCCCCCCCCCCCCCCCCCCCCCAACCGCCGGCAAGAAACGGCACACGACGCACCTGCGATACAGGCCACCACAAGACCTCGTGGTTGAGCTGCAGGAGAAGCTTGTGGTACTCCGTCTCCGACTCCTTCGACTGGTCCGCCTCGCGGAGCATCTGTTGGGCTTCGTTCTTCAGCTGGATCTGCTCGACGACCATTTGGTCACGGGGAGGCAGAGGGTGTGCTCGTGTAAACGCATGCCTTAGCTGTTAGACCATCTACCACGCGCCCTCGAGAGGACGGACAATAGGAAGAGGGTGTGCTCGTGTAAACGCATGCCTTAGCTGTAAGACCATGGACCACGCGTCCTCGACAGGACGGAGAATAGGAGGAGGGTGTACTCATTGTAAACGCATGCCCTAGTCGATAGACCATTAACTCGCATCCCTACACAGCAGTAGGATCCTTCCGCGTTTTTCTTCGTTTAAGAAAACATGTTGGATAACGTATGCAATTGAGGAGGTTGGGCTAGGGTTTGTTGGGGTATATGCGTTCCCCCTCCCTGTTCTATTTCCTCATAAAACTCATTTCTCGCGAGGGTGTTCTTCTTTGACGAGATGTGACGATCTCTGACGCGGGTTCAGTGTGGAGCTAGCCCGACCACTGTGTGCAGGTTGGAGCCGCTTCGCTTCTTCAGTCTGTTTCCTTCCTTATCCTTCCTTTCTCTCTCAGTCGCTCGCTTTCGCTCACTCCCAGGCAACACCAGGGAACACCATGCAACACTAAGCAAGGTGGAACATCGCTTGCTACTGCTAGTAACCATTGTACCGCTACCTGCCTGAAGTCGGAATACTAGGAATCTGGGCAGGTGGTCGGGATATTCCGGAATGATATACCCGCCCAGATGGTATCTTGGTCCAATGGTCCAAATACCATAACACTTCCCTACAATGCTGTCGGGACGTGGCGATATGACGTGTTTTCGCCGGCCCAGGCTACGTTTCACAAGGATGAAACTGGTCATCATCCTACAGCGTTTGGCGGGGTGGGGGGTACTCTTTTATGTTTTGCATGCCTTAGCGGTTAGAGCAGTGACCACGCATCCTCGAGACTACGGAGCAATATTGTTCCCACAGGACACATCACCGATGGCCAATCGTCCCTCCTTCCTACGGTTATCGCTGTGATCCATAGCCGTAAACCAGCGGCTTTGTTCTTGCCGTCAGCAACAGCTAAGGACTCATCATCGTTAAGCCGGAGTGCGGATTTGTTTCTGTGGGGATTCCTGTCACGATCGTTCCACCTGATACCACGGGTCCTAGCTTGAATTGCGCGACAAAACGTACGAAACGTAGTACACCCCGCACGCCCCGAGACGAAGGTTACTGGTGCTTTCGTGTATGGTTGTCCCTCGCCCGGTGCTTTCGTCTCTTGCTTGCACCAGCTCACAGCAGTACCGCCAACGCCACCAACACCAAGAAAAAGCCATCAAAACCAAGAAAAAGCCATCAACACCGAGAAAAAGCCATCAAAACCAAGAAAAAAACATCAACACCATGACAAAGCCATCAACACCAAGAAAAAGCCATCAAAACCAATAAAAAAACATCAACACCATGACAAAGCCATCAACACCAAGAAAAAGCCATCAAAACCAATAAAAAAACATCAACACCATGACAAAGCCATCAACACCAAGAAAAAGCCATCAAAACCAATAAAAAAACATCAACACCATGACAAAGCCATCAACACCAAGAAAAAGCCATCAAAACCAATAAAAAAACATCAACACCATGACAAAGCCATCAACACCAAGAAAAAGCCATCAACACCATGACAAAGCCATCAACACCATGACAGAGCCATCAACACGAAGAAAAAACTCTATCGCATGCCACAACAGCGGCGACATCATCACCACGATCACCAATAACGACAACTGTAACAACGAGTACTACTACTGCTACTACTACTACTACTACTACTACTACTACTACTACTACTACACCATCAACACCGAAACCAAAACAGCAACAACTACCTTTATACTACACGACCACTACTACTACTACTACTACTACTACTACTACTACTACTACTACTACTACTACTACTACTACTACTACTACTACTACTACTACTACTACTACTACTACTACTACTACTACTACTACTACTACTACTACTACTACTACTACTACTACTACTACTACTACTACTACTACTACTACTACTACTACTACTCCATCAACACCGAAACCAAAACAGCAACAACTACCTTTATACTACACGACCACCACACAACAACAACAACAACAACAACAACAACAACAACAACAACAACAACACATCTCACAATGATCGTAATTATGTTCACCATGGTCACAACAACAACAACCACCCCACACCGGCTCTACGCTCACCATGGTTATCTGCGCGTCTCCCAGGTTGAACCTCCTCTGAACGTCTTTGTAGTGCTTGTCCTCGAGGCCGGTGTCCAGATCCAAGTACAGTTTCTGAAGCATAGGATCGCGGAGGACGACGTTACAACAGCGCAAAAAACAATACGCACACACACCGTCTGAAGCAATAGATCGACGAAAAACGGGAGGCGATTTCTGACACAGCGAATCGGCGAGTAACGGAAAGAGTCAGAGCACAAAGTATGCATGCATGCGATCTCTGAATGCAGTGAGCGGATGGAGGAGAGAAGGAGGAATCACACAATTGTCTGAAAACAACCAATCGACGAGCACCGCAAGATGTCGGCGCACAAGCGGTGCCAGAACACTATCCGCGGGTTGCACGAAGTCGACACGGAAGAAAAGCACCCGGCGGCGATGGGGAAGGTGATGTGCACCGCTGCAAAAGTAACATTCATCGCACACACGGCCGTGATGTGCGTGAGGAACGCCGAAGACCATGTCGCTGCTGCTCGCCGGCGGCGGCGAACAACGAAGTCGGGGACACAAATGCGCATCCGGATTTCGCCCGACAAGTTTGCTGCTTGTACCCTTCGACAAACACCTCCATGAGGTGTGGAAGACCTATTCCAAGTACAACATGAAGCCATTTTAGACTTCAACGGGGTTCAGGCCTTGAGTTTCGATACTTAGTTTTATGTCCTTCAACTCTTCGATTGGCCGTTGAAAGGATACCGGGGGCGGTGCGAAGTCGGAACAGTTAATCGTAGCTGGTTGTGCCCTTCTGGATGAGGTTTTTTGACCCATGATCTGGGTACAGAGCAGACGGCAGAGCAGTCGCTCTGACCGGTGGAGTTATTTTCCCGTTATGCAAGAAGCGCAAGTTCTGAAGCGATGGTGCAGTTCTTGCCATGTAAGACAACGTTGCCCGGTGGTAAACATCATATCGCGGAGAGGCCATGACGTCAAGTGCAACTTCGTAAGTGACGGGTGAAGTTCTTGTCATGTTCAACAACATTGCCCGATGATAAAACACCACGTCGCAGAGGTGATTGACTGTGGAGTGCTTGCCATGTAGTGCAACGTTGCCCGAACACAACATAAGTTCTTCTCAAGGTATACAACGTTGCCCGATAACATCAGAAGTTGTGAAATGCCAGATCTGAAGCGATGGTGCAGTTCTTGACAAGACATAGGCATACAATGTTGCCCGATTACAACATCATATCGCAGAGAGATTCTGACATAATGGAGCAGTTCTTGGTCAAGGTAGTCAACCCGATAGTAAGTGAAATGCTAGCTCTGAAGCGATGGTACAGTTCTTGTCATGCTACGCAACATTGCCCCATAACATCAGAGGTCGTGAACGTAGGGTTGGAGGGCAGGGCTGGCTCACCAGGCCTCGGCCTTTCTTCTTGGTCTCGGAGGAAGTCACCGCGCACAGCAAATGGTCCTCCGCTACCTTGAGCTTGAACTGGTGCGAACCCTACAGGAAATATCGCGGGGCGGGGGGGCGGGGGGGGCGGGGGGGAGGAAACGTACTCTTATGTTTTGCATGTCTTAGCGGTTAGACCATTGACCACGCGTCCTCGAGAGGACGGAGCATTGTTCCCACAGGACCGATCACCGATGGCCAATCGTTCCTT